GTGATTTATGTATCTTCCTGCCACTACTTTCATTAAGCATTGATACAATAAGCCTTTGCTTCTTCTGCGTTTCTTCTCCAAAGACAGCACTGTTCTGTCTATGATGGCATAAGAAAGTTGTATTTTTGAAAGAACGCTGTATCAAATACCTCCTGAAGGCCCTTTGGATAATAACTGCTGATACCTCCTCTTGTTTTCTCTTAAATGTAGAAGAAATTGGCCTGTGAGATCTTTTAGATGGATTGGCAGCCACAAATTTTTCTTCAATGAGTAATTTAAGTGTATCAAAATCTCCACATTCTCCCAAGACTCGTTTACTGAAAGCAAGCAAGATATCCAAGCAGTGGATCTTATCTCCACTCACTAGAGGGAGGTCCATGGATATGAGCTGGATGTTGTTGGGCTTTGGAATGCGCAAGGGTTCTGCCAGAGCATCTGCAAAGTCGGAAAGAGCAGAATAGTCAATAAACTGTGTTGCCAGAGGATCAAATTTTCCCCAGGTCTCATAAAACATATCAAAGTCATCCTCACAAAGAGGATCTGTGCTTTCTTCAGTGGCAACATTGAAGTTCTCTAAAATGACAGCTATGTACATATTTACAACAATGAGAAATGATATAATGACATAGCTTACAAAATAAAAAATACCAAATGCTCTGTTTTTGCAATTAATTTTATCTTTCTCTTTTAAAACTAAGCTTGGAGCACATGAATCAGATTCACTTAACAAAGGAGCCAGAAGACTATCCCAGCCAGCTGATGTTGTAATTTGGAAGAGACAGAGAATGCTTCCAGAAAAGGTTTGAAAGTTGAAAATGTTATCAATCCCACCTTCCCAGGGAAGACAGGCAAAGTTTGCCATGCCCACAATGGCATAAATGAACATAATTAGGAAAAGCAAAAGGCCAATGTTGACCAGTGCAGGAAGAGACATCAGTAATGCAAAGAGAAGGGTTTGAATTCCTCTCGCTTTTCGAACCAATCTCAGGATTCGGCCAATTCGCACCAAACGAATAGTTCTCAAAAGTGTAGGAGAGAAGAATTTTTCAAAGGCTTCAGAAACTCCAATACCTTTGAAGGGAGAAAGAAAACAACATGTTGTCAAGGCATATTAGTCAAATTGTTGTCTGCTTTGTTATATTCTGTGCTTTAGGTGTCAGAAGTAACACTGACCATATTACACCACTTTCCACACAAATATCATCAGTACTGCACCTGCTTACAGAACAGCTTAGGAAAAGAAAGACAAATATCTTTCAATATTAAAGAGATATCAAGATTATGCATAGTTTGGAAATTGCATCCTCCCAGATTTCTCTAAGCCAGAGGGGTGAAGGTAGGCGTTCATTGCTCAAGTATTTAAAAATACTTTAAATCTGTTCAACTCCTTTGCTGGAAGCTATGGGGATTGCCTCCTGGCTGTCATCTGCTGCTTCTTTACAGGCCTGATAACATGCCAAATGTGAGGCTTTGACTAATGCTTGGTACTTGAAGGAGATCAGAGAAGACCAAGAGGATTCTAAAGAAAATTTGTCTTTTAGCATTTATCCCCCATTACACCCAGTTCTGTGATCCTACTACAGAGTAGTGGTACAGCAGCAATGCAAATGATTACAAACAGAGGAGTTAAGGAGTCATCATTTCCCTGGGTTGCACAGGACAGCAAAGGGTTACTGTGCTTAGGCAGAAAACAGAGAACTCAGTAGTTTTTCTTTCCTGTCCTTTATTCTGTGATATAACCTGAGTTTGAGTGGAAGCACAAACCGAATAAACTGTACAAGAAACTAGAGCTATGTATGACCCTTTGTAGAGGAAATGATCAGCATCTAGTCTTATTTGAAAAGCCAAAAAAACCCAAGCCAGTTTTAATGAGACTTTTCACAGTCACAAACAGTGTTCCAGATTAGGAATGGTTGTGAACAATTACATTTTCCTGAGCTTTCTAAATCAGCAATCAGGATCTACCTTCTTTAAAGGAGGTCCAGGAAAAATTAAATACATCTTTCTCATTTTTCAAGCAAATGTATTTTTAACATGAATTTCCTTTTACTGTGAAAAGAACAGTTACCATGATAACATATAAATCAAAAGCAGTTAGACCAGTTAGACAACATTTAAGTACAGTAATTTAGAGATGATGTTAATTATCTAAATTTCTGCTCTTTTCTTAAATTTCTTTAAGAAAAGTAAAAATTGAAAACTCCATTTACTTTTTAGTACTGTGGAAAAATATAAGGGAAAAAAATACATCCTTTTAGAAGGAATGACTTAGCATACAGTTTGAAAAAGTACAGTGGATCTGGTACTTGTTTATCAAATGTATCTAAGTGGTTACTTCACACTGAAATTTGGCTCAATATTGGTAAGACACATTACCTGATTTAGTGATTGGTACTTACTAACTATTGAAAGGACCACAACACTAAGATCAAATAAGTTCCAGATTCTTTTGAAGAAATGTTGCCTTAAGGCCAGTATTTTCATGACACATTCTGCCGTAAATACAGCCACAAAAAAATAGTTGATTTTATTAAGAACTTCCTTGGTGCCTTCCTTGGTGCCTTCCTCGTTATTTTCTGCCATCATAACAACCATATTTAGGCAGATGAAAATCAGAATGATGATGTCAAATGCTTTGTGCATTACGATATCAAACAGCAATCCCAGGAATGCATTCTGTGGAGAGAACAAGAAATGCTTGATGCTACTTCTAGGACTCAGCCTCCATTCAAATATTAATCAGTAATTTGTGCTTAGAAAGAGAACTTGAGATAATGAAGAATTTGGAGGTGATTTCTTTTATTCATTCTCACCTGCAATAATCCAATCTAGTGGCAGAAGCAATGTCATGCAACTTAAGTAACCAAGGTCATGGTAGGAATATCACTTAATATGAACCTTTATAAACAGGTTGCACATTTGAATAGGTCACAAATAGGATATAAACTTCCCTAATTAATGCCCACAAAGTTGTGTTAGATGGAATTTAGGAAGAGAGATAAAAATGTAAATACTACATTGAATGAGGAAGATGATGGGCTCTAAGGCAAAGTTTATTTCCCTGTGCCTGGGCTACTGAGTTCAAATATGGTCACCATCGTGGTATCTTCTGCCACGTTCTACTTAAGATGGTCTCACCGATGGTCTTGGGATGGGTTTTTGAGGTTTCTTGGATCCAAGTTTTTTTAGGGCATTATAGTACTTTTTCTGTTCCTCAGTCAAAAATAGATCTTTTCCACCTAAGTAAAGGGAAAGAATATTGTTGTTTAGCTGAAGTTTAAGCAGTTCCCTAAATACCAGTAACTTTCTGTAAAAAAGAGTAAGTTACAGCTGTCCTGAGTGAGACCTAATAGAGAGCACAGAGACAAACTGTGTCTTCACCATTTCTCCTTTTCCCCTTCATCTTTGAACAGATGTACTGGAAAGAGCTGATCTGGGTCTGATCATGACAGTCTAGTCTAGGCAGTGTTCCCAAGTCAGTTCCCTCGAAAGCCTTTCTGAAGCTTTAAAAATCTATTTCATATTTTAAAAATTACATACGATTCATCAAGAAGGGAGATACTTTCTATTTTTGGGGAAGGTAAAGCAGAAATGTATGGCTGGACTAGCAGGTAAATGGAGGATGATGGGACCCAGTTCTACAGGGGGTTCCTGACAATGAATTTTTCATTCCCATCTACACCCCCTGTATTACTTATCCCCATCTACACCCTCTGTAGTACTTATCCCCATCTACACCCTCTGTAGTACTTAGCAATCCCTTTGAACCCAGGATTCAGAAGCCACTCATCAATCATAAAAGGGACAAGGAAAACCGCCTTTCTTTATTGGACATGGTGGGGGGAACCTAATTATCAAACATGAGGAAAAGGCTGAGGTATTTAACATCTTCTTTACCTCAGTTTTCAACAGTAAGACAGGTTGTCCTAAGGACAGCTGGCTTCTGGAGCTTGTAGAGAGAGATAAGAAGCTGAATAGCCCCCCTGTAATCCAGGAGGAAACAGTTTGCGACCTGCTGAGCCACTTGGATCCTCACAGGTCTATGGAACCAGATGGGATCCATCCTAGGGGGATGAGGGATCTGGCAGAAGAGCTGGCCAAGCTGCTCTCCATCATTTACCAACAGTCCTGGCTCACTGGGGAGGTCCCAGATGATTGGAAGTTGGTGAATGTCACGCCCATCCACAAAAAGGGTTGGAAGGAGGACCCGGGAAACTACAGGCCTGTCAGCCTGACCTCAGTGCCTGGCAGGGTTGTGGAGCAGATCATCCTCAGTGCAATCACACAGCACCTACAGGATGGACAAGGGATCAGACCCAGCCAACACGGGTTTAGGAAGGGCAGGTCCTGTCTGACCAACCTGATCTCCTTTTATGACCAGGTGACCCTCCTGGTGGATGAGGGGAAGGCTGTGGATGTGTCTACCTGGACTTCAGCAAAGCCTTGGACACCGTCTCCCATAACATTCTCCTGAAAAAGCTGCAGCCCACGGCTTGGACAGGGGCACCCTATCCTGGGTTAGGAACTGGTTGGAGGGCTGGTCCCAAAGTGGTGGTGAACGGGGCTGCATCCAGTTGGGATCTGGTCACTAGTGGTGTCCCCAGGGATCAGTGTTGGGCCCAGTTCTGTTTAATATCTTTATTGATGGTTTAGATGAGGAGATTGAGTCCACCGTCAGCAAATTTGCAATGACACTAAGTTGGGGGGGAGTGTCTATCAGCTGGAAGGCAGGAGGGCTCTGCAGAGGGACCTGGACAAGCTGGATCCATGGGCTGATTCCAATGGGATGAGGTTCAACAAGGCCAAGTGCTGGGTCCTGCACTTTGGTCACAACAAACCCCTCCAGTGCTACAGACTGGGCACAGAGTGGCTGGAGAGCAGCCAGGCAGAAAAGGACCTGGGAGTTTGGATTGACAAGAAGCTGAACATGAGCCAGCAGTGTGCCCAGGTGGCCAAGAAGGCCAATGGCATCCTGGCCTGGATCAGGAACAGTGTGGCCAACAGGTCCAGGGAAGTGATTCTTGCCCTGGACTCAGCACTGGTGAGGCCACACCTGGAGTGCTGTGTCCAGTTCTGGGCCCCTCAGCTCAGGAAGGACATGGAGGGGCTGGAGCAGGTCCAGAGAAGAGCAACGAGGCTGGTGAAGGGACTCGAGCACAAGTCCTATGAGGAGAGGCTGAGGGAACCTGGAGAAGAGGAGGCTCAGGGGAGACCTCATCACTCTCTACAACTCCCTGACAGGAGGCTGTAGCCAGCTGGGGGTTGGTCTCTTCTCCCAGGCAACTATCAGTAAGACAAGAGGGCAGATCTGGAGTTCTGCCAGGGGAGGTTTAGGTTGGATATTAGGAAGAAATTCTTTACAGAGAGGGTAATCAGGCATTCAAATGGGCTGCCCAGGGAGGGGGTGGGTTCCCCATCATGGAGGTTTTTAGGATGAGACTGGATGTGGCATCAGTGCCATGGTCTGGTAACCACGGCGGTGTTGGATCAAGGGTTGAACTTGATGATCTCAGAGGTCTTTTCCAACCCATCTGATTCTATGATTCTATGATTCTACTCTATGATACAGGTAAATTGCTAAAAGCAATTGAGGAGAAGAGGAGTCTTGTTTCCAAAACATGGTTTAAAATGTTATTGCTTTAAATTTATCCAGTTAAACAGTTCTTTCAAAATATTAGACATTTACATGTCAAACCAGCATTCATTTAAATTGGGATTACAGGAGATCCTGAGTTAGCTCAAGTAGTACTTATCTTTTTCCTTTGTTGGTTGAAATTGTTGATGACCACTCCAATAAAAAGGTTCAGCATGAAGAAAGATCCAAAAATAATGAAAACCACAAAGTATATGTACATATATAAGCTTGCTTCAAACTTTGGCTGTTCATTGATCTGTTAAAAAAAAGTCAAACCAGAAAAATAATATGGGTAAAAAGGAGATAATCACAGCTTTACCATTTCCAATTTATAATAGGAAATCTTTTTATTGTCACAGGGGATAAATTATTTCCACGCATTTACATCTTTACCTGCATGTACAGATAGAACCACTCTTTTTCTATCTTGCTACTGATTGTAAAGATAGTGACAAACAGAGCTATAGAGCCCAATGCAGCTTTAGCAAATTTTTAAGTAATAAAGAACCAGTTCCAATCAGAAGGGATCCTGTGAATGCCCTGATTAAAAACAACAACTCTCACTAAACATAATGCTGACCAGCCATCCTCTGGAATGCTGTCCCAGACAAGAGGCAATTCTAAAGCCCCAGCTCACTAAGATCAGCCCCACAAGGAACAATCATGTTAATCAGCAGCTATTTCACTGCAGTCAAGAGCACAGAGACTGAAGGAGTGAGAAAAAAGATAAATTCAATTAAACACAGAGAAGTTAAAACACACTGTCCTGGTAAGAGAGTGAGGAACAGCACATGCAAAGGGGGAAGAAATAGTGAGGGTGTCAAATGTAGGGAAGAAAAACTCCTGAAATAACTGCTCTAGCTGCATGCTGTTTCCATGCTCCTGTACACGCTCAAAAAGGAAGAAAATTTGCACAGTCCCTCCAAGAGCTTCTGTATTCTGTTTCCAAAAGAGACTTGCACAAAGCTTGCAACTTCTTCCCCTCTGCATTCCTGCCATAGCAGGCTTCTGTGTGGTGTCACTCTACTTGGACCAGTTTCTTTTGTCTAAGTTCCAGATATTTGGTACTCCAAGGATTGTTGTTTCACTGTGTTGTTTGATGCCTTCAACCACTTGTATTTTTGATTTGATATTGCAAACAAAGATGAAAAAGTAATTACATGGATGGAAAAGGGAAGAAGAAAAGGGAAAAGAACTAAATTGTCATTTTAGTGACATACCTGACGTGAATCCACCGCTGCATACATAATATCCATCCAACCTTTAAAAGTTGCCTGAAAAAAATGCATTATTAAGCTTGTTATAGCTAAGAAAACAATCAGGTATAGCTAATATAAATGTATTGATAGTTGCGGAAAATAAGCAGTATGCTATAAAAAATGTGTATCACTTCTAAAGATCTGCTTGGATGTATCATTGGAGTTTAGTAAAAAGAAAAAAAATATTTCCTGAAAAGAAAAAAAAAAGTATGACGTGAAATTTGTGTTAGTGTTAACTCTCATTAAATTCAAAATTTTTGAAAAAATAATCAGTAAAATTTTCAGCTTAACTTACAAATATAATGTAAAAGGACAAAAACAATTTCTAAGAAAACAGCAAACAATTCCTTCCTGCAACTTTTAGCAACTCTGTAGAATCACAGAATACTTTGGAGGATCCAGGGCAAAGAACTTCGTCTAAAAAAGAGACAGGGATAACAGCCAATTTAAAAATTGCCTTTCCTTCCTTTGTTGTCATGTTAGGGAGCTCAATAAATTAGTATCCCAATCCTTCATGACTTCTACAGGAAAAGAAAATATAAAGAAACTGTGCCCTGATTTTTTTTCTCATCCACTCTCAACTAGAGAAAATGAGAATATTTTTAATTGAGTAACCTGCAGACTATTTCAGGTTTAGAGTGTTAATCAAAATTAAAACAACATTGAAAAGCCATGAAACAGAGTTCTTGATTTTAATGCAAGGTTGCATATGCTCAAGTGTTCTTTAGGAGGAACTGAGCAGGGCACCAACGAGGAAAATATATATGGAAGCTAAAAAATATCCCCAATTTCAGTGGGATAAACAGAAGCATAGTGGTGTCCCATGGTTGGGCTGCTCAACCCATTTCCTTGAAGCAAACAAAACTGAGAATGTTTTTATAGAACTCACCACTTGGAGCAGAGCCAAGTATCCCATCCCAACATTATCAAAGTTTACAGGATAATTTGTCCAATTTCCACCATAAGAGTCACAATCACTTTTGTTATTAATGGCACTGATATCTCCTTCCTGGAGTATGCATTTTGAAAATCTTTTCCCAAGCCATTTTACTCCTAGAATATTAAATAGGAACCAAATGACAACACAGACGAGCAGAACATTGAAGATTGAGGGGATAGCTCCAAGGAGTGCATCAACAACAACCTGAACAAAATGAATGAAAATAATAGTGAATTTTATGTTGTCATTTTCAAAAAAATCTTCAAATGCAACCATTACAAAATATTCCCACCAACCCCCAATATCTTTACCTTTATCCCTTCAAATCTTGACAAAGCTCGTAGAGGCCTCAATGCTTTGAGAGTCCTGAGAGATTTCAGGCCACTTCCAGAGGAACAAAGTGATACATCTTTGGGATCATGACTTAGTCCCCAGGAAACAAATGACAGCTGTGTTCATAGAATTGGAACTGGGATTATTAAATGGTAAACAAATTTTCCCTTGTTTGTGTTAGCAAACAATCATTACCTGAATGGTGCAATATCTTTGATCAGTAAGTCAAATTAAGAAAATACACATTAAATTCAAAGTTATTGTAATTTTACTTCATTCATTTCTAATATATTTTAAGAAAAACTAAAGTCATGGTACATATTCTTTATAACTAGCCATAATATTAGACCTTCCTGTTGAAATTTCCTACTACTTCACAACTTTCAATGCTGACTATTCTGAAGCCATCAAACAACTACTCTGATGTTACCATCAGTCATCTCTTTACATGTCCTTTTCTTTAAATACTTAAGTTCAGAATCTTCTCAGTGATATGTTGACAAGCATAGATGTTTCATTTTTATATGGCAAGATTATAATAATCAATATTGTCTGAATTCATAAGAAATATGTAGGAATTGAATACTGCACTTATCTCACTATTGGTGTTTTCAGCATGTCTCTTTATAGATATGCAAAGGACTGCTGGGATTTCTCTTTTGCAAAGCAAAAAGTACTTTCCTACATCTTTAACATTCTGGTAAATGATTTTTCCAACAATACTTTTCAACTCCCTTTACTATCTAAGTTTCTTGCCCTTCAAGGAAGCAACTCTACCTTTTTTCTGTTTCTAAATGCCAAAATCACAGAATCATAGAATGGTTTGGGTTGGAAGGGACCTTTAAGATCATCTAGTCCAGAAATGCCAGTAGCTTCTCATTTTTCTATAGTTTTAAGTAATTTATTTTAGTTTTGTTTCTGATCACTAATTGAAATCCTTCTCTCCACTGGAAATGGTTTTTAGAGCCATCATGGTCCTCAATGACCGTGATACCTAATAGAATTTTCTTAAGCAACTTCTAGTTATTGCTGAAAATTTCAATTTGAATTTGTCCTAAAGTCTGTTTGGAATGCAGATTTTTCACCATTTGGGAACTGTCTATCACACTTGTAGTTATCCATAATTAGAAATTATGTGTAGTTATTCAGACAGAAAATGTCAAAAATCAAAATGTTATGACAAGCTGAATATAATACTTACACACACAAGGACAAAGTCAAGCAAACACCAGGAATTTGTGAAGTAACTGTGCAATCCATAAGCTACCCATTTCAGAAGCATCTCCATCAAAAAGATGTAGCTAAATA